TCTGACACACACAGGGTCTCACTAGTTCAAGTGGGCTGCATGGGAGTGAATTAAGTTAGATTTTTAGATGATGTTGGACCCATTGGAAGACTCCAAGACAATCACTCTGTCTCCAAATCCTTCTTCATGTCTGCAAAGTGCCCTCCACCCTGTGAGGTACCATAGTCACTGGTCCTAGGCTTGGATCTATTTGGGAACAGGGCTTTGCTTATTTAATCTCAAGGTTGTAGGTGTCATGGAGTGTCTGAGGGAGATGTGTTTGAGGAGGTGTTCCCGAAACTGAAGGAGAAATGAAGAGAGTGAGAGGGAAACACTTCATGTCGTGAGACTTCATGTTGAAGGTAGACTCTTTGAAGAATCGGGCTCAGTTCTTCAAGGATCTGGGGTCGAGAATGGAATAGATTTCAATCCAGGTGCAATGGAGAAACCCAAAAAACTTTATTCATGAAACTCCACAGTTGGATAATGTATCAAGAGAGTCTCTTTGGGGTTTGTTGTTGTTAAATGCCACTAAATTTGTTCTGAACCATAGCGGTCCTATGTAGGGTTTCCAAGGAGCGACTGGTGGGTTTGACCTATTGACCTTGCTGTTATCAGTCCCAAGATTATGTCTTCTAAGACAGAATAAGAAAGATCTGAGACGAATTGCTTCACTGAATTATAGCGTTGGTGTGGAATATTGAATATACATGGACAGCTAGAAAAATACATATATGTGTTTTGGATCAAGTCTTGGATAAAGCCAGAATGTTCCCTAAAAGAGAGGCTGGTGAGTTTTTGTGTCGTGTCCTTTGGGCATGTTATGAGGAGGAACCAGTCCCTGGAGAAAGACAGCAGCAAAGAGAAAGCCCCTCAATTAGAGGGACTGATGTAGGGGCTACAACAATATGCTCAAAGATTAAAGGATAAAAGAGCAGACAGGGCTTCATTCTAATGTACAAAGTGTTGCTTTGAGTCAGAACTGAGTCCTTGCCACCTACAAACTACTCCAGTATGACATCTCTTAACCTAATTACATCGGGCAAGATGCGCTTTCCAAGTAAGGTCTCACTCCAACGTTCCAAGTAGACATGAATTTGGGAGCGATGGTGTTCAACTTGGTTCAGAAAGATTCATGAGCATCTGCAATGGTACAGGTGGGGAGAGACGAGATGGATTTGGTCACCACATGACACACACCAGGTGAGAACTGTGATCTGGTGAGTATCACACAGAGAAGGGATGCAGGAGTGGAAGCCAGGTAGATGCTAGTGACACACACAGGTTGAAAGATGGAGACCTGAGTCAAGAAGAAGAAGCTAAAGGAACCATGGTCCTGAGGATGCTGGTTATAATAGGAACCCACCCAACAGTTAAAACCAAATCCCATTGCATGGAGTCCACTCCAATTCATGGTCACCCCGTGTGTGTCAGAGTAGACGTATGTTCCACAGATTCTTTCATGGCTGGCTGGTATTTTTTTGGAAGTGTCTGTGAGTGGACAAGAACCTCCGATTTGGTCATTGTATTGCCATCTCTGAGTCCTCTGTTGTGGTATTGTACCAATGCATCTCACAGAGGGTCTTCCTCTTTTATTTGCTGACCGTCTAGTTTAACAACCAAGATATCCTTTCATAGCAATCTGTGTTTCCAGTTGGCGGTATAGGTTGAACATCTCCGTACAAGAACTTTGCAATGATAGGTTCTATGGTATTTTACAAAAGACTATAGATGTCTTTTCCCTTCAAGGACAATACCAATGTCATTTGTGAAAGTGGACAAAAATCCAAGTTTTGAAAATGAGGAGAACTGAGATGGCAAAGAGCCAAATTTTGGAGCATCCAGGGTTAATCCTAGCATGATGCCAATGTTCCAAAGTCTACTGGATTTTCTTACCAACATTGGTCTTTGGAGAAGGCATACTTAGAAACTCCCCTCAGCTGGGGCTGTGCATGGGGGTTTTGCAAATGGATGTGATATTTACAAATTCTTAGTAATACTATGTTTTGGTTTTAGTTTACCCTGGAGTCGACTTGTCTCATGGTGACCTTTGGTACAATAGAAGGAAACATTGCCTTGTCTTCATGTTGGCATACTTGAGTCTCCTGTTGATGCAAGTGTACCAACACATCTATCTGATAGAGAATCTCTCTCTTTTGTTTGCCAACACTCTAAGAAACAAGATGGCCTTTTGAAGCAATTAATATTTCCTGATGGTGTACACAAACTGAGAAAGCCAAAGTCTCGTCATTTTTGCTTCCTGATTTGTATGTGTTCTTTCTGAGACTTGATTTGTTCATTCTCCGAGGAGCCCACAGCTATTTTGAATCATTTCCACCAACACCACAGTTCCAATGTACCGGTTCTCCTTCTGTCTTGCTTTCTCAGTTTGTGGCTTTTGCATGCACATGAGGTTAAAAACACCATGACTTGAGTCAGGCATACCTCAATCATCAAAGGAACACTTCTGCTTTCAAAAACTGTAAAGAGGTATCTGCTGCACATTACCAAAGGCAACACTTCAATGAGCATCTCAATTGTTGTTGTTGTTGTTGTTATGTGCCATGGAGTTGGTTCCGACTCATAGCGACCCTGTACAGGGTTTCCAAGGCTGTAAATCTTTACGGGAGCAGAAAGCCTCATCTTTCTTCCATGGAACGGCTGGTAGTTTTGAACTGCTGACCCTGAGGTTCACAGCCCGATTCATAGCCACTACACTACCAGAGCTCCTTGCTACCCCCCATGTTGTTGTTGTTGTTGTTGTGTGCCATCGAGTCGGTTCCGACCCATAGCGACCCTGTACAGGGTTTCCGAGGGTGTAAATCTTTACGGGAGTAGAAAGCCTCATCTTTCTCCCGCGGTACAGCTGGTAGTTTCGAACCACTGACCTTAAAGTTCGCAGCCCAATTCGTAACCACTACACTACCAGAGCTCCTTACATAGATGTGGATGATTAATTCTAGTAGAATAAAAAGTGTTGTCAACTTTCAGCTTTTCCTCAGTATCTGGTAGCCCTGCACGTTTCTTAACATGCCTTTTCTTACCAACAAGAGTCTCTTTTAGGGTCTTCTCATCGTGTGTAAGTCTATGTTTGTGTTTGTCCTAAGACCCCGCTCAGAAGGGATCAGGATCAGAATCTATCATTCTCCATTGATAGAATCTCCCAAGAAAGACCTTGTTTCCAACCAGGGTCACATCCCCAAGTATCAGGGATTAGGATTTCAGAATACCACTTTTGGGGGAGAGAGACACAACTCAACACTTCCTAACATGTGTGTACTGGGGTCTTGTTGCAGTGAGGTATAGTCCACCAGTGAACATCACCGCAACCTGTAACCACACGCACTGTCTCCTCACGTGGGAGCGGCCCAGGACCCAGCACCATATGTCTGTTTGGGAGCAGAAATATGAGCTGGACATACAACAAAAGGTAATGGCAGCCATAGGGACAGCTAGACAGCCAACAATGGCTAATGGGTGCAGCAGTAAAGGTGTTCCTCCTGCTCTAGGCAACGAGAGATGCAGTAAAGGTGTTCCTCCCGCTCTGGGTATTGGAGCCGCAGTAAAGGTGTTCCTCCCGCTCTGGGTATCGGAGCCGCAGTAAAGGTGTTCCTCCTGCTCTGGGTAATGGAGCCGCAGTAAAGGTGTTCCTCCCGCTCTGGGTATCAGAGCCGCAGTAAAGGTGTTCCTCCTGCTCTGGGTATCAGAGCCGCAGTAAAGGAGTTCCTCCCACTCTGGGTATCAGAGCCGCAGTAAAGGTGTTCCTCCCGCTCTGGCTAATGGAGTCTCAGTAAAGGTGTTCCTCCTGCTCTGGGTAACATGTTCAGAACAGATGAATGACAGTTGGAGAAAGATATTCCCATGTGCCTTTGGAGGACTCAGACAACAATTCCAAAACCAGGTGGCCACAGTCCCTTGTATCCATGGTCAACATGGGGCAGGAAGGGATGGGGTAGACAATTGAGAGTCAACAGCAGGGAAAGGTGAAGGATCCTCCACTCCACTGCCCACCTGGACCTTCCAGAAACTGGAAATCAAGAAAAGTCTTCTGGGAGAGGTGCCACCCAACGTCTAGTCTCTCTATCCACCACATACTCCAGCTTTGTGGAGCACAAAAGAGAATTCGTTCTTTATGAATGAGAGACAACATGGATTAATTACCCCTGACCATGCCCACAGATAGATACTGGACAAGGACTCGTGAAAACCATTATAAGTGGAGGAAAATTGACCTTCTGTTTGTTGTTTTCATAGGGCAGTAAAGACAGCAACAGAAATAACCTGGTAAGTGAAATTACCTCCCAATGTCTCTCCTATTGCTTAATCCTACAAAGTCTACAAAGATGAACTTGACCCAGATGGGGCTGGAATGGAGAAGGTGGTGGGTGTGTGGGTGGGTGGGGGGTCTGGGTTCCAAAGAATGGAGAAGTCCCAGAGATTTTGGTAAATCCCTGGACAGGACTCGCATGAACCCAAGTTGATTGAAGAACTCTCATACCCGACTTGTTGCAATGACTTATGTATTATGCTCATTGTATTCTTCTTCCATCCATTCTGGGTCAAGACAATCTTTCAGTGAGTGTCAGAGAGATTGTTCCTTCCTTAAATACACTTTGAGATAGATCTTGTTACAACTTTGGTGTGACATCTGCTGAGCTTCCTCACCTCGCTCAGCCTCCATACCCTTTCTGATAAAATGAGGGTGCTCAGTGGACTGATCATAATATCCTTTTTAGGTCTCTGTGTTTGTGGTACAATGAACTCTCTTGACTGCTAACTAAAAGGTTGAAGGTTTGAGTTCACTCAGCACCTCAGAAGAAAGACTTGGTGATTTATTAAAAATAAATAAACTGAGCAAGTCTTTGGGGAAAAGACCTAACAACCTGCTTCCGTAGCAAGAAAACCAGTTTTTGGAGTTCTAGTGTGTCTCCTTAGGGCATTACGAGAGAAAGATGACTTGATGCTACCCAACTGTAACTAAACATGGCTCTACTCATGTTCACACCAGTGTTCTTTAGTTTTTTAAAACTTTTTATTGTGAACTGAGTGAAGGTTTACAGACAAGATCATCACTTTCACATTCAACCAATCACACACGTGGTTTCATCTCCATGATGGGAATCCCCTCCCTGCAACAACAGTGATCCCGCTTCCTCCCTGGGGCTCCAGGTTCCACTTCACCCTCCTCCCCATCCCTTCTCTACTTGGTCTGCCACGTTCCAGAGAATGAGTTACTCGTCTGTATTTACATCTCTGCATGCCCCAGGAATGGATATAGATCGTTCATTGCACTTATTCACATAGACATCCATCCAAAGTTTCCAAAATATGAACATGCCCATTAATCCTGCACATTGCAGCTTCCTAAACAGAAAATGACATTCCAGAATAGGATTGAAAATTGGTGCATCGGTAACACGTTTGGTCTTTTCCTTCCCTGGTTTTCATGCGTAAATTAACAAAGGGTAGTTTAAAACCTTTTCTTAACGGCCACTGGGAGATTGCAAAGACATCCTTCTAAACCGTCTTTTCTTTTTGCAACTCAAGTGATCCCTATATGGACCACCTTTCTGTCCTTTATCCAAAGATTTTTGTGTCTGGAGGCTGGGGGAATAAGCACAACTTTCCAATCAACCCCAGAGCGAGGTACACTGTGAGAATCAGAAGTGGAAAGTCACGGATGAGTACGTGGGGGCCCTGGAGTGAGCCTGTGGTCTTTGGTGAGTGTGGCCGCTGGGGGTGAGGGCCAGGCTGGGCAGACAACAGGGACACCGATGGCATCTAATGCTACTGACAGGTGTGGACGGTAGAAGGCAGAGAAGGGGTAGACAGGATGATAGACTGAGAAATAAAGATGGCTGCATGCTAGGAGGTAAGTAGTAAGACAGCTAGATGATACATGGATGGATGGATGGTAGGTAGGTAGATAGATAGATGGCTAGATAGATAGATGATAGAAACATAGATAGATGATAGATACATACATACATACATACATAGGTAGATGTGATAGATAGATACATATGATAGATAGATAGATAGATAGATAGATAGATAGATAGATAGATAGATAGATATGATAGATAGATAGATAGATAGATAGATAGATAGATAGATAGACAGACAGATGTGATAGATAGACAGATAGATAGATAGATGTGATAGATAGATAGATAGATAGATAGATAGATAGATAGATAGATAGATAGATAGAGGTAGACAGATAGATAGAGGTAGATAGACAGATGATAGATGTTGTTCTTGTAAAGTGCTGTTGAGTCCGTTGAGATTCATAGCGACCCTGTATAGAGTTTCCAAGAAGTGGCTGCTAAGTTTGAACTGCCAGCCTTGTTGTTCAAACCAACCTGTGGTCTGGTACTTATCCTGCAGCACCACATCAGGTCTCCAGAGAGCAATGACAGGTTAATACAGAGAGAGATACCAGATTTAGAGATCGAGACATCAGTAGACAATAGTCAGGCAAACATGATGGATAGATGATACAGTGACAATGAAAGAGCAATACGTTGATAGACAGACATGATAGAAAAGGATAGATGATAGAAAAGGTAATAGTTTTAGAGGTAGAGAGACTTTAAAAAATGGTAGACAAGCAGACCGACAGACAAGTCATATGAGGGATAGATGATAGATGGATTGATGTGATATGATATGCTATATGATATATAGACAGATGGATGGTAGACAAATAGATGGACAGAAAGATAGAGCTGGCTGGTTGGATGGATGGATGGAAGGATGGATCGATGATGGATGGATGGGTGGGTGGATGGATGGAAGAATGGATGAGTGGATGGATGGATGATGGAAGGATGGATGGATGGATGGATGATAGATGGATGGATGGATGGATGGATGATGAATGGATGGGAGGATGGATGGGAAGATGGATGGATGGATGGATGAGAGGATGGATGGAAGGATAGATGGATGGATGGATGGATGGATGGATGGATGGATGGATGGATGGATGGATGAATGGATGGATGGATGGGTGGGTGGGTGGATGGATGGATGGGTGAGTGGATGGATGGGAGGATGGATGGAAGTATGGATGGATGGGTGGGTGGATGGATGGGAGGATGGATGGATGGATGGATGGATGGGTGGATGGATGGAAGGATGGATGGATGGGTGGATGGATGTGTGGGTGGATGGATGGATGGGAGGATGGATGGATGGATGATGGATGGATGGATGGATGGATGGATGGATGGATGGATGGATGGATAGATGGAAGGATGGATGGATGGGTGGATAGATGGATGGATGGGTGGGTGGATAGATGGATGGATGGATGGGTGAGTGGATGGATGGGAGGATGAATGGATGGGTGGGTGGATGGATGGGAGGATGGATGGATGGATGGATGGATGGATGGGTGGATGGATAAATAGATGGATGAGAAAACAGATGTGTGCATACACAAACATACATGCACATGATTCCTATCCACCCCTCAGAGGGGTCCCTGGAGGGATGCCATGTAGTTTGATGAGGGAACTGAGAGCAGAGTATGGTCCCTGGGGAATGAGGACCAGGCTGGGTGGGCACCAGGGACAGCAGCTGTGACCTCTGAACAAGCTGAGCAGGAAGCTCATCTTGCATTGGTAACAAACTATAGACAACCACCCCACATCTGTCTCCCCTTCTCCAGGTTTCGACAATCAAGGAGTCAGCCCCGCCTATGTCTACGTGCTGGTGGTCCTGGGGACGGTCCTTGGGACTCTTGTCATCGGGTTTCTTTGTAAAAGGTAACATTGGTGACAGGGTGGGGGACTTAATGACCCAGGCAGGAACTGCCTAGCAATTCCCCCCAAGAGAATTGAAAGCAGGGACTCAAACAGATATATGTGCACTGATGTTCATTGCAAAACTACTCACAATGACCGAAAGGTGGAAGCAACCCAAGTGCCCATCAAAGATGATGAATACAAACAATGTGGTCCATCCACACAGTGGAGCATTACTCAGTCATGAAAAAGAAACAACCCAAGGGTCCATCCACACAATGGAATATTACTCAGTCATGAAAAAGAAACAACGCAAGTGTCCGTTAACAGACGATGGAGACACACAATGTGGTCCATCCACACAATGGAATGTTACTCAGTCATGAAAAAGAAACAACCCAAGTGTCCATCTACAGATGATGGAGACACACATTGTGGTCCATCCACACAATGGATCCCTGTGTTATTGTTGCAGCTGCTAATTGCCCTCAAGTCCATGTGGAAGTCCATATGGAAGTCCATATGACTTGTGGAAACCCCATAAATGCAGAGCAGAACTGTGCTAGGTTTTCAATGCTGTGGCCTTTTGTAAAACGATCACCAGACCTTTCTTCTGCGTGTCTCTGAGTACACTTAAACCCCTAACTTTTCCATTAGCAGCTAAGCAGAGTAAGCACCTGGGACTCCATATATTGCTATAAGAGCCCCTGTTGGCTCTGTTTTCTAGTGCTTTAGCCACCCTGGGATTATAAAATTAAGTTGTTGTACATGTTTGAGATGGGTACTAATGAAACAGTCCACCAGACCATGATGAGAGGGGCGTCTTAGACTGGGTTCTCCAGAAGAGCAAATCCAGTGAAGCTTTTCTAGGTCTGTATTGTTGTTGTTACGTGCTGTTAAGTAGGTTCTGACTCATAGTGACCCTGTATGGGGTTTCTGAGGCTTTAAGTCTTCGTGGGAGCAGAAAGCCTCATCTTTCTCCTGCAGAGCAGCTGGTGGGCTCAAACCATGGACCGTGTGTTTCACAGTCCAGTGCTGATCTTATGGAGCCATTATGTGTATAAACAGAGAGGTTTGTATCAAGGAAGTAGAGCTCACAGGTGCAGACACGAGCACGCTGCAAGTCCACGGGTCAGATGTCAGGTAGCTGCAGAATCGGATAAATCAGGATCCGCGGGTCAGGTGGATCACTTCTAGAGGTGAATGAACCCAAGTTCTGTGGACTTTTAGAGGCAGATCACCACACCTTTCTTCTGAGTGTCTCTGAGTACATTCAGAGGCTGATGACGACCCCCAGGGAAGATCACTGGCTGCAGTTCAAAGAACTAGGGTTTGAATGAGGAGCCACATACAAGATCCAGATGCAGCAAAAAGCAAGCAAGCTTCACCCGGGTGTCCAATATGTGGGCATCCGAACACTGCCCAAGGAAACTTCCTTTCAATGGGCTGGCTCCTCAGAGCAGATCTCATCACAAAAGTGACTACATTTTACTAGATGTCATCTTAGGAATGACTATAATGAAGCTGCCAAACCCCTGAGAATTCTGTCCAAGGCTTTCTGACCCAGAACCTTAACTGTCACAATGTGGGCGTCGGGAAGCCCAGCCACCCAGACAGTCTCTACAACCCTTCCCCCGTCTCCCTAGGTTCCTGGTGATACAGAGTTTATTCCCTCGGATTCCGAAGATCAAAGATAAACTAAGTGACAGCCAGCAAACCAACCTGCAGGTATGTGGGGATGGGCAGAGGAATGAGGGGTGTCAAGAGAGGGTCAGTCAGCTTGTGGGCCTTTAATGTGTGTGTCCCCTCACCCCTTGTGGATCACAGACCCATCACTCAGCATGCAGGGAGGGGTCCTGTGGTCTGCTGGTGCGGTGGATTCCCCTGGGGATACAGGTGGGTTCTTGTCTGTGCTCTGTGTCAAGAAAAGTAGAGAGAGACACACAGAGAAACACAGAGATGGAGAAAGAGACACACAGAGAGAGAGACAGAGACAAAAAGAGAGAGAGACACACAGAGAGAAATGAAGACAGAGAAACAGAGATGGAGAAAGAGACGGACAGAGAGAAACAAAGACAAAGAGATGGAGATAAAGAAACATAAATAGAGACAAAGAGTCAGAGGAAAAGAAACAGAGACAAAGAGAAACAGACCAATAAAGAGACACAAACACAGAGATTAAAGAGACAGAAACAGAGATAAACAAAGAGAGAAATAAAGTGAGCCAGTGACAAAGAGAAACAGACAGCAATAAAGAGACAGAGAGATACAGAAATAGAGAGACAGGCCAGAAGACAAAGAGACAGAAAGACAGAAACAGAGACAAACAGAGGTAAATATACAGAATGAGAGAGAGACAGAGACAGGCAAATAAAGAAATAGTGATAGTAACATAGACACACAGACACACACCGAGAAAGGATCCAAAGACAGGGAGAAGAGAGAGACAGAGACAGGATGGAGAGTCAAGTTGGGGTAAGTCAGAGACAGACGGACAGACAGACAGACATGGAGAGAGACAGAGACTGCAGAAAGGTGGGATCCGATGTCATGGTGGGCGTGGACCCGATGCCTCCAAGGCAGGACCGCCTGTATCTGAGGTTGGGGCCCTGCCCCAGTCCCGGGCTCCCTTCCATGTGTTCTCCTTACAGCATGATCCCTACCCATGCGCTCCACACCTCCATCACCCACACCCTGCCTAGGGCACACCCAGTTCAGTCCTCTCTCTCCCCGCTGACCTCCAGAGCCTGCTCACTCTGCGCCTTCCCACTGACCGTGCCCACTCAGATATCTGTTCCTACGCTGGCTCCTGACCTTCAGGTGTGAGGCTAAGCATCCCCCCCTCTAGGGACAAGCACACACACGTCCCCTTCTCAGATTCAGTAAGAGGAACAAGAACCTCATCACCAAGGCAGGCAGCCATCAGCAGTCCCTGAACTCATGAGCACCCCACAAAGTCACCTTCCTCCTTTCTCCCCTCAGATCAATTGGGGCGCCCTCATGCCAACCGCAGGCAAAGCAGAGAACGAGGAAGTTCTCAAGGTGGAAGACGTGGACTGAGCCAACCCCACGAGATGTGAACCCATACGCACCTCCAGTCCAGAAGTTATATTTTTATACTGTTTGGAGAATCTATGTAACTTTCTATTTTTGTACTTAAAAAAATGGGACATTGGACATTCATGCATGGAGTCCTAGCTATTGTTCATGCCCTTTGAACCTGACAACAACACAAAGCTCAGACTAGCCTGCTTTGTAAACAGCTGGTGGTTGTAGATTTGGTGCTTGCCTTCAAGTGGTCTCCGAGTCAATAGTGAGCCCAGATACACCAGGATGTGTATCATCTCCACAGTCGGATGGTGTGAACCCTACATCTCCACCACTGTGCCTTCTGAGAGCCTTCCAGTCTGGGGAGGCTCATTTGCCAACACTCCATCAGACAGTGTTCTGTTGTGATCCACAGGGTCTAATTTTAGCAGTAGATTGCCAGACCTTTCTTCCTAGTCTCTATCTATTTGGAAGCTCTACTGAAGCCTGTCCTCCATGGATGACCCTTTTGGGATTTGAAATATGGGTGACACAGCTTCCAGCAGTATGTCCAACAATGATCTGTTGTGATCCACAAGGTCTTCGTTTGCAGAAGTAGATGGCCAGGCATTTCTTCCTAGTGTCTATCCATCTGGAAACTCCACTGAATCCTGTCCGCCACAGGTGACCCTGCTGGGATTTGAAATACAGATGCCACCGTTTCTAGCATTATGTTAGACAATGTTCTGTTATGCTCCACAGGGTCTTCATTTACAGAATTAAATCACCAGGTCTTTCTTCCTAGTCTCACTTAGTCTGGATGTTCCCCTGAAACCTGTCCACCACAGGTAACCCTACTGGGATTGGAAATACAGATGGCACCGTTACTAGCACTATGTTAGACAATGTTCTGTTATGCTCCACAGGGTCTTCATTTGTAGAATTAGATGGCCAGGTCTTTCTTCCTAGTCTCGCTTACTCTGGAAGCTCCCCTGAAACCTATCCTCCATGGGTGAGCCTGCTGGGGTTTGAAATATGGATGCCATAGCTTCCAGCTCTATATTGGACAAGGTTCTGCTGTGATCCTCAGGGTTTTCATGATCTGATTTTCAGAAACAGGTCACCAGGACTTTCTTCCTAGTGCCTCTTAGTCCAGAATAACAGGAGCACATACCACCGCCACAGGATGACACACAGACAGATGCGTTTGCTGATTCGTACATGGTGTATACCCCAAGGAGCTCTGGGTGTGATGGTTAAGCACACAATTTCTAACTAAAAGGCCAGTGGTTTGAATCCACCAGCCACTGCAGAGGTGGAAGAAAAATGAGGCTGCCTGTCTGTAAAGATTTATTGTCTTGAAAACCCTGTCAGGCAGTTGTACTCAGTCCTACAGGCTCCCTGTGAGTTGGAATCAACGAGACAGCACACAACCGGGTGGAAAAGGAAATCCGGTGGTAACAGCAATTAAATGAAAGGAGAGAGGGGGAGGGAAGTGGGGCGAAAGTAAGAGACAAAGAGTCAAGGAGGGACAGGAGAGAGAAGGAAGGAGGAAGAAGGAGTGAGGCAGAGACAGACCAAGGAGCAGGAAGAGAGATAGATAAAGAGACCTCTCACTGAAAAGTCAGCAGTTTGAACCCATACCGCAGAAGAAAGACCTTGTGATCTGGTTTTATGTCCCAGCTTAGAGGGTAAAAGTAACACTCCCCAGCCAGGCCTGCTGATGTTCCGTGCTGTTGAGTCAGTTCCAACTCACAGGGAAATAAAACAACGCCTGGTCTTAACCACCCTCACAATTGCTGCTACGCTTGAGCCCATTGGTGCTGGCAGTGGGGTCTGCCTTCCTCTTTATCACTGACCCTCCAGGTAACCAAACAGGTTGTCCTTCTCCAGGGACTGGTCTCTCCTGTCCTGAACGGTGGTTATGACTTGGAACCGACTCGAGGGCACGTTCCTTAATTCCCCTCACGTGTTACCGCTGAACTTTCTGGGGGCTTGAAAGCCCACCACCTGGAGTCCTCTCTGTGGACAGTTTGTGCACGATAAACCAGGAGATCTGACAGGACCAAGACTGCACAGCCTTCATGACAACCAGGACCAGCCCAGAGGAAGCCAGAGAGGATGTCGGGATCTGGGCGTGGGGGGCCAGCAGGATTCACATGCAGAACTCAGGGGGAAACGTCCAAAAGGTAGCCTTCCTTACTTTGGAACTTAATAGGAAAACACGTTTTATGAATAAAAATAAGTGATAACATCTCTGTGCACAGTTATCCCGTAGCAACCAAGAGGAATACAAGATAATTAAGCATGTGGAATAGAAATACTTTATGTATAGGGTCCCCACGTTCTATAATAAGGAAGACTGTAGAAGAATTGATGCATTTGAGTTACGATGTTGGAGGAAAATATTGAAAGTGCCATGGGCTGCCAAAAGGACCAACAGATCCGTTTTGGAAGAAGTGCAGCCAGAGTGCTCCTTGGAGGCCAGGATGGCAAAACTTCGTCTCTCATACTTCAGACATATAGTCAGGGGGGACAAGTCACTGGAGAAGGATATCATGTTTGGTAAGGTGCAGGGTCAGAGAAAAAGAGGAAGACCCCCAATGAGATGGATTGGCCAAGTGGCAGCATCGATGGACTCAACCATGGCAATGATTGTGAGGTTGGCCCAGGATCGGGCAGTGTTTCATTCTGCTGTGTATAAGGTCACTGTGGGTCAATACCGACTCGATGGCACCTGACAAAAACAACATGTTCTATTCATCTTTCCTTCTCTATCCAACCTCCCATGTCTTCCTCCCTCTTCTGACTTTTAACATCTAGTGAATATCATTTTCATCTTTTTATTGTAAATTGGGGAAAGGTTGACCGAGCAGATCGTCAGTTTTACGTTCAACAAACTCATGGTCATTTTGCTTCAACTCACTGACTGCTCTTCCCACGTTGGACCATCACTTACCCCACTTCCTCCCCGTGTCTCCTATTCCCTTCTTTCCTAACCCTCTTGAAATTTGTCCATGGGTAAGCACTGCTGATTGAATTGAAAAGGATGAAACAGCTGTTGAATATTAATTATTTGGCTTAGAAGAGGCATGTCTGGAATGCTCATAGAAGCCAGGATGTTGAGACTTCATCTCTCGTACTTTGGATGTGTGATCAGGAGGGACCAGTCCCTGGAGAAGGACATCATGCTTGATAAAGTGGAGGGTCAGAGAAAAAGAGGAAGACCCCCAATGAGATGGATTGGCACAGTGGCAGCCGCAATGGGCTCAAACATCACAATTGTGAGGATGGTGTGGGACCAAGAAGTGTTTTGTTCTATTGTACCAGTATCCCTGAGTCTAAATGGACTCAGCGACACGTTAACAACTAATAATGACCTCCCGCATTTAAAATGAAAGAACCCTGATAATGCTGCAGGCTCAGGGATGGACTGGTAAGCAAAAGGTCAGCAGTTCAAGACCCACCAACAACAGCATGGGGAAAAGATGAGGCTTCCTGCTCCCAGAAACACTTACAGCCTCAGAAACCGTATGAGAGGGAACCCACTCTAGATGTCCGCGAGTCTGCTTTGGTTCGGAGTATTTTTGCGAAGACGTTTTAGAATGAATTAGGAACAGATCTCTCAGAATCTCATGCACTTTATTCCTAAATGTTATGTGTGAAACATAAAGTTTGTTCCCAGAGGGAAGCCACGTCAGGAGATCGTTTCTGGTTCATGAAGTTCCCACTGATCCTGGGAAAAACCCACAAGAAAGACACCCTGGTAAAGTATCTGTCTAGAAGTTCAGGGACTGGCATAATCTATTCTCTCTGCCTGATGATTTAATCCCTGCACATTTAATGCCACCCCAATCGTTAAAGGGATACCCCCCATTTGTGGAGTTGTTGGGGTTCAGTCAGAACGCAGACCCACCTAAGAGCAAAGTCTCCCTCTCCAACTCTCCAGACCCAAGCCCCCACCCTCCATGGTCCTAAAAGTTGTTTGGGAAGGTATTGTTGTTGTTATGTGCCGTGGAGTCGGTTCCGACCCATAGTGACCCTGTACAGGGGTTCCGAGGCTGTAAATGTTTACGGGAGCAGAAAGCCTCATCTTTCTCCCACGGAACAACTGGTAGTTTCGAACTGCTGACCTTGCAGTTTGCAGACCGATTCATAACCACTGCGCTACCAGAGGGCCCTGTCAAACATAACACAGCTGTCTTCTCCATAAAAAGTACCACTTTGGGCTGAAACCATTACTTTTAAGCTGTGTTCAAAGTAGACATCCATGCACTGCGGTCATGGGGAGGGGCGGGGGGATAAGGAGAGTTTTCATCTATTGAACACACTGAGAATGGAGTACTGGTATGGAGTACTGGTATGGACTGTTAGCCGCAAGGTCAGCGGTTCAAACCCACCAACCGTTCCTCGGAAATCCTACGATGATGATTGTGTGCCATCGAGTGAGTTCTGACTCCTAGTGACCTATGTAGACAGCAAAAGTGAGGAACCTTTATTGTGCCAACATTTATAACATCAGTCATGGGCTATACACAATTATCAATTTAAAACTGAGTCTGCTAAAGAACAATACATAAAAATCAGTCTGCTGTATTTGGTCAAACACTTAATTAACTCACCACTAAATGTGAGCGTAGTGGTTACGAATCGGGCTGCGAACTGTAAGGTCAGCAGTTCGAAACTACCAGCTGCTCCGTAGGAGAAAGATGAGGCATTCTGCTCCTATAAAGAATTACAGCCTCGGAAACACTGTACAGGGTCTCTATGAGTTGCAACTGACTCCACGGCACATAACAACCACAACAACAAATGTACTAAGTGGTGTGGCGCTCTAGGATAAGCACTCAACCACAAGGTCGGTTTGAACCCCAAGGTCAGTGATTCAAATTCACCAGCCGCTCCTTGGAAACTCTATACAGGTTTGCCATGACTCAGAACCGACTCGACGGTACCTAACAACAACAACAACAACATCTATGCAATAAAGCACCAGACTGCCAACCACAAAGTCC